AAAAAAAAAAAAAAAAGAACCAACCAACAACCTTGTCTTTCTCAGTTGCTCGGACATCTTCTTTGCTATAAAAAAAGAATTAACAGGAAGATTAGTGACCTGTGAGAAAGAATTATCCTGTAGATCCCTAGCAGATAAAAAGCTACAATAGCAGACAGAACATGTCATAATTGGGACCCCACTGCCACCCAAGGAAGCAGGATGGAGAAGCAGACTTAGACCACGTAGAACATCAGTATTGGTATCCCTGACCAGAGAACATTAGAACATATTTGGCGGGAACTCTGCTCCTTGGGACAACTTGAACAGAAACACAGTAGAGCCACCCTGAATCTTGAGGCTGGATAAGGCCTCAAAAGTTAAATTATCTGGCTCATAAAAATTGCTTGTCCTGGCAGTACCTGTAGCACAGTGGTTACAGCACCAGCCACATAGATCAAAGGTGGTGGGTTCGAAACCAGTCCGTGAAGGGGTACAGCCCCCCATACCTAAGCTACCCATGGTAGTTTATTCTCAAGTGCTCCCTGAGGGATATGACTCTAAGATTCTTATTCTGAGAATATGTTTAGATCTGCCTAAAAGCAGACAGTTACAGCTCGGCACCTGTGGCTCAACTGGCTAAGGCGCTAGCCACATACACCTAAGGTGGTGGGTTTGAATCCAGCCCAGGCCCACCAAAACAACAATGACGGCTGCAACCAAAAAATAGCCGGGTGTTGTGGTCCCAGCTACTTGGGAGGCTGAGGCAGGAGACTCGCTTGAGCCCAGGAGTTGGAGGTTGCTGTGAGCTGTGATGCCACGGTACTCTACCCAGGGGGATAGCTTGAGGCTCTGTCTCAAAAAAAAAAAAGACAGACAGTTACGTGCTTACACATAAGATAGCTGGTGGGTTTCGCCAGGTTGTAGCTGGAGATAACACTTGCTGAGGCAGTGGGCTGCTGTATCCTGTACCTTCCCCACATTTACACAACAGTAGTCAGTTTTAGTTTAAAGGAAATGGGCAAACAGGAACAGACATCCTGGCGCTTTTGTGGTTAAGTCTGAAGTAAAAATGCCTTTTTTAACTGTGCTTGTGCTCAGCAGCAGTTTTGTGCTGATGTGGAGTTTTTAATGGCAGTTTTGACATCTCACTTTGTTTTGCTTCTTTTTTCTATTTTTAACCTTTACTAGGTAAGTTTATAAGGAGCTCAATAAACATGGGTGTCAGTTGTGTGCCCGACAGAGCTTCAGCCCCCCCTTTTCAATCCAATCATTTTGTCTAGCAATGCTTTCCTCTGCGTCACCGAACAAGGGGTTTTGTGGGACAACTTCAAGCAAGCAGGGTCACGGCTGGACCAGGACATGCTTGACCGGTTCTACGGAACTCTTCACCGACCTTAAGGTTAGTTACTGAAACTGGCAGAATCGGGAGGGTGCTTGCTGAATTGTAAATTTCAGAACTCTCAACATATTTCAAAAAGGGGTTTCATTCATTACCATGGGTAACTCCTACTGGGTTGTTGACGATGAATACATACAGTTGTTAAGAACTTTACTAGAAGCTCGGCGCCTGTGGCTCAAGTGGCTAAGGCGCCAGCCACATACACCTAAGGTGGCGGGTTCGAATCCAGCCTGGGCCCGCCAAACAACAATGATGGCTACAACTGAAAAAAAATAGCCAGGCATTGTGGCAGGCGCCTGTGGTCCCAGCAACTTGGGAGGGGGAGGCAGGAGACTCCCTTGAGCCCAGGAGTTGGAGGTTGCTGTGAGCTATGGCATGGCGGCACTCTACCCAGGGGGACAGCTTGAGGCTCTATCTCAAAAAAAAAAAAAAAGAACTTTACTAGATACTATGGGTATCTCAGTTAAAACTGCTTCTTTCTGGTTTATTTTCCACCACAAGGGCTTGTTGTTACTGGTTTACACCTGACTCTCATAATCAATTGAATTTAGCTGCTTGGGAAGAAGTAGGTGAAGAAATGAAACGCTTCCACCAAAAAGGAAATATTATTGATAAAGATATTTGGGCTATTTACCATCTTGTCAAATTAGCTTTACAGTCTTTTGTCGGAGGTAAGAGGAAAACATCCAAACTCCCGACTTCTCCTGATCCTGAGCCTGACAGTGCAGTCACAGATCTTATTAAATTATCTGTTTCGGATAAGGCTGATGGCGCTGGCCAGGAGGACAAACAGGAAGAAAAGGAGACCCCAGAGAATGGAGGGGATCAAAACTCCTGTTCCTCTGAGGATGGTGCTGTAGGAGAGGAAGAACCTCCCCTATCTGCATCCATTCAATCTCTCCACCACAAAATGACTGATGTCAATAATTTTATTAGAGAATGTTATGATATGGTAGAGAAGGCCAGGGTTTCGCCCTCTGCACCTCCAGAGCCTTTGTTAGATATGACCATTCCATCATCTGTTCCTGTTCCTGCATTTCCACGGCCTCCAGTTTCTGACTTTCTACCACCACCTCCTCCTCCAACACCTATATTGGAGGATGAGCCGAGACCTTTAAAATCTATTGCAACCCCTGTTGAAAACCCACTAGCTATCTTATCTGTAAACATGTGGACTGCCTGCTTTTAGGCAGATCTAAACATATTCTCAGAATAAGAAGCTTAGAGTCACGTCCCTCAGGGTGCACTTGAGAATAAACTACCATGCTTAGGTATGGGGAGCTGGCCTTCAAGCCTGGGCCAGCTAACTAACAATGACAACTGCAACAAAAAAAATAGCCAAGCGTTGTGGTGGGCACCTGTAGTCCCAGCTACTTGGGAGGCTGAGGCAAGAGAATCACTTGAGCTCAAGAGTTTGAGGTTGCTGTGAGCTGTGATGTCACAGCACTGTACCAAGTGAGACTCTATCTAAAAAAAAATAAAAAAATAAAAAAAAGAACTGTTTGTCCTCTCTCAAAGAATCGACAGAGAAATAATCTATGATATCACTTACCAACCTTTTTAATGTCTTACAACTTTTGGTTTTAATCTGTATTAAAGAAAAAAAAACAGCCTTCTAGTTTGGTTAGAATCTTTTTTTGTTTTTTGAGACAGAGCCTGAAGGTGTCGCTCTCAGTAGAGTGCCCTGACATCACAGCTCACAGCAACCTCCAACTCCTGGGCTTAAGCGATTCTCTTGCCTCAACCTCCCAAGTAGCTGAGACTACAGGTGCCCGCCATGACGCCCGGCTATTTTTTGGTGATAGTTGTCATTGTTGTTTTGTCAGGCCCGGGCTGGATTTCAACCCGCCAGCTCTGGTGTATGTGGCTAGCGCCTTAGCCACTTGAGCTACAGGCGCCAAGCCATGATTGGAATCATTTTGACACTGTTAATCTTCAGCTTCACTCAATTCTTTTTGCCTTATCTTTACTTTTATTTTATTTTGAGACAGCCTCTCTTTGTCACCCTCAGTAGAATGCCATGGCATCACAGCTCAGAGCAAACTCAAGACTCTTGGGCTCAAGTGAACCTTTTGTCTCAGCCTTCAGAGTAGCTGGGACCATAGTTTGCTTTATTTTTAAACCCTTTCTTATTATTTTCCCTTTGTCATAGATCATGTAACATTCTCTTTACTGCTAGGGGAGAATCAAAGCACAAAGCAAAGACAAAAATAGGCAGGAATAGGAGTTTAACTGTTTCTAAAAATTCTAACCTCCCTGTCTATCCTAATCTTAATTACAGGTGCTGAGGCAAATGTGAAGACAAGTGTACTTTTTAGACAAGGGTACTCCTTACCGGATTGTTCCTCGAAAAGAGTTCTTAAGTGGTGTGGACCCCACATATAGGATGTGTACTTTAGCAAAGCGTGAATTGATGCTAGAGACCTATGGAAGAGAGTTAAGATCAGCATCAGAGAGTTAGCAGTTGTCAATTTAAGGAGGCAGCAATACACTAAGAATTACTAAGACTTTAGTCCATGTAACCTTACTTAGATTTTTTCTTTTCCTTTTTTTTTTTTTTGTGGTTTAATCATATAACTCACCATAACCTCAAATTCCTGGATTCAAGCAATTCTCCTCCCTGGACTTCTGAGCAGCAAGGACTACAGGTGCATAACACTGCACCCAGCTAATTTTGTTTTTGAGAGATGGCATCTTGCTATGTTGCCCAGGCTGGTTTCAAACTCCTGGGCTGAAGTGATCCTCCTGCCTCAGCTTCCCAAAGTGCTGGGCTTACAGCCATGTGCCACTGTGTCTGGCCCTTAAGTATAGATTTTCAAAAGTATAGAAGTCTAACATACATCAGACACTGGGCATGGCATCAAAGTTAAACCTTCAAAAGATATTACTAAGAAGCCTGTATAGTGGATGGAATTTATTTTTATTTATTTTATTTTTATTTTTTGTGACAGAATCTCCTCTTTGGTACAGTGCCATAGCATCATAGCTCATAATAACCTCAAACTCTTGGGTTCAAGAGATCCTCTTGTCTCAGCTTCCTGAGTACCTGGGACTACAGGTGCCCACCACAATGCCTGGCTATTTTTAGAGATGGGGTCTCACTCTTTTCCAGACTTGTCTTGAACAACTGAGCTCAGGTGATCCACCTGCCTCGGCCTCCCAAATGCTAGAATATAGGCATGAGCCACTGTGCCCAGCCCCAGCATGGTATTTAAATTTATATTTCAGGAACTATTGAATATATGGATCTCTGCCTCTGTATTATTTTCAGACTAACAGATTTATTTATTTATTTTGAGACAGAGTCTTACACTGTCACCCTCGGTTGACTGCTGTCATAGCTCACAGCAACCTCAAACTCTTGCCCCACCCTCCCAAGTAGGTGGGACTACAGGTGCCCACCACAACACTCAGCTATTTTTAGAGATGGGGGTCTAGATCTTGCTCAGGCTGGTCTTGAACTCCTGAATTCAGGCAATCCACCCACTTCGGCCTCCCAGAGTGCTAGGATTACAGGAATGAACCACTGCGCCTGGCCTTAACACATCAATTTTTGTGGAATAATTTTACAAATTGCTGGAGTAATTTATAAAGAGAGAAACTAAGAGCTATTAGTCAACATAAACTGACAATGGGTAAGGATAGGCAGGGAGTACTGATGTGTTACAGTTATTGATCAGTACAGCAACAACTTGTACCTCCCCTGAAATACACCAGAAGATTTTAAATTTAACTGAAATGCTAGAAAATAAAGTATTTTATTCTCTGCTGGAAAAAGGTATTAGTTTCAGATGTTCAAAAATCATCCTCCTTATTATCCTCTGAGGCCTGTTTCCTAGCCACAGATAGAAACTACATACTGAGTAAACTAGTTCAGTCAAAGAAATGTACATACCTGAACTTGTCTGCCTTGATCATTACCCAAGAAATCTTTAGACCAGCACAATACAGTAAAATATTCTATGATGATAAAAATGCCATGTGCTGACCAATATGGCAGCCATTAGCCACAAGCAGCTACTAAGCACCTGAAATATCACTAGTATGACTGAGGAAATGAATTTTTAATGCTAATTAATTAATTAATTATATTTCTTTTTTTTGGAGACGAGGTCTCACTTTGTCACCCAGGTTGAAGTACATGAGTACAGTGGCTTGATCATGGCTAACTGCAGCCTCAAACTCCTGGGTTTAAGGGATCCTTCTGCCTCTACCTCTTAGGTAGATGGAGTAGCTAGGACTATAGGTTACATCTCACCATGCGCAACTATCTGTTTAATTTAAACTTAAGTAGCCATATGTGACTTGTCACTACCATATCCAACACTTCAGTTCTAGAATTATCACAATTTTAGCATTGAATGGGCAGGTACTCTAAGCCCAACTTACCTTACAGGTAACAATAGCTCCCACATCTGGCAGCAATTGAGACTCTGTTTCTCTCATCACAGATACCACAGGAAGCTACAGAGAGAAAATAATGTCCTTAGGTAAAGGTATGTGTAGCTTGAGAATAATATAGGCATGCTTTTTTTTAGAGATAGAGTCTTACTTTATTGCTCTCGGTAGAATGCCATGCTATCACAACTCACAGCAACCTCCAACTCCTGAGCTTAGGTGATTCTTTTGCCTCAGCCTCCTGAGTAGCTGGGACTATAGGTGCCCACCACAACACCTGGCTATTTCTTTGTTGCAGTTTGACTGGGGCCAGGTTCGATCCCACCACCCTTGGTATATGGGGCCAGCGCCCTTCCCACTGAGCCCCAGGCGCTGCCCCAATATAGGAATGCTTTAGTGTACAGTTGGCATCACAAGGGCAAGTGGAATATGAATTCACTTACAGTCTAGAGAAGGGGGCTTTAGAAATTTTAGGAAGGAGGTGGACCAAGGGGCCACAGGAATAGAGACATACTCTAACCATTCCAGATGATTTCTTTTTCAGTCTCACTCTGGCATCGAGTAGAGTGTTGTGGCATCATAGTAATAGCAACCTCAAGCTCTTGGGCTCAAGTGATCATCTTGCCTTAGTTTTTCTTTTTTTAGTAGAGACAAGGTCTCCCTCTTGCTCAGGCTGGTCTCAGACTCCTGAGCTCAAGCAATCTACCTGCCTTGGCCTCCCAGAGTGCTAGGATTACAGGCGTGAGCCACTGCACCTGATCATTCCAGGTGAATTCTAATAAATTTTTTAGTGATTTTCTTGAATTTTCTTGGTAATATAAGAATACTGCCTGTAATCATGGATAACCTGACTCTTCCTTCCAGAGTTATATAGTTTCTGTTTATTTTATTGCACAGGCTAGAATTTCCAAATAAATGTTAAATAATGGTCATTATATTTGTTTCCATATATATAATATGTATATTATATATATTATTATTTTATTATATATATATTATTATTATTATTGTTTTTTTAAAGACAGAGTCTCAAGCTATCCCCCTGAGTAGAGTGCCATAGCATCATGGCTCACAGCAACCTCCAACTCCTAGGCTCAAGCAAGTCTCCTGCCTCCGCCTCCCAAGTAGCTGGGACCATAGGCGCCTGCCCCAACGCCTGGCTATTTTTTTGGTTGCAGCCGTCATTGTTGTTTTGGTGGGCCTGGGATGGATTCGAACCTGCCACCTTAGGTGTAGGTGGCTGGTGCCTTAGCCACTTGAGCCACAGGTGCCGAGCCTATTTCCCTCTATTTTAAGGAATAATTAGCATTTGTTCTCTGAGTACAGTACTGGCTGTTAGACTAAAGTAGATATTTTGAGCCTTATCGTTTATTAATCTCTCCCTTGCTTCCTATGCTTTAGCTCTCCTACCCTTTTAGTTTCTCCAACTTACTAAATTCTTCTTGCTCAGGATCTCTGTTCAACCTGTTCTCTCTGCCACAACTGCATTCTCCACTCACCCAACTCTTATTTATCCTTTAGATGATTTGTTGTAAATGTCACTTCTGCTGACTCGGGTGGGTATGCCACGTTTTCACCATACTCTGCATTATTCTTTCAAAGTAGTCCTCATATTTGTAACCATATCGTCACTTGAGTACGTATGTATGTAATTATTATTATCATTATTTTTTGAGACAGTCTCACTTTGTCACCCTTGGTAGAGTGTCACGGCATCATAGCCCACAGCAACCTCAAACTCCTAGGCCTAAGCGATTCTCTTGCTTCAGCTTCGCAAGTAGCTGGGATCATAGGCACCTGTCACATTATAACACCCAGCTATTTTTATTTTTATTTTTTAGAGACAAAGTCTTGCTTTGGCTCAAGCTAGTCTTGAACCTGTGAGCTCAGGCAATCCACCAGCCTCGGCCTCCCAAGCGCTGGGATTACAGGTGTGAGCCACCATGCCTGGCTAATTGAGATGGAGTCTTACTCTACTGCCCAGACTAGAGTGCTAAGGCATCAACCTAGCTCACAACCTCAATCCTAGGGTCAAGAAATATTCCTACCTTAGCTTCCACAATGCCTGGCTAATTTTCCTTTTTTTTTTTTTTTTTAGTACAGACAAGGTCTCACTCTTGCTCAGGCTGGTCTTGAACTTCTGAGCTCAAGTGATCCTCCCACTGTGACCTCTAAGAGTGCTAGGATTACAGGCGTGAGGGCCTGGCCTCATTTGAGCATTTATGTTATTATGATTTGTGTTTGTGTTACTTGATAACAGAAAACAACAAAAGTATTTGGCTCATTAATATATCCCCACAGGTGGAGGCTGTTCCAGATACATAAAAATGCTCAAGAGATATCTATGAAATGAACAAACTTAAGAATGTAAGGACCTTTAAAAAAATTACCGAATAGGGGCTCGGCACCTGTGGCTCAAGCAGCTAAGGTGCCAGCCACATACACCTGAGCTGGCGGGATCGAAATCAGCCCGGATCTGCCAAACAACAATGACAGCTGCAACCAAAAAATAGTCCCAGATACTTGGGAGGTGGAGGCAGAAGACTTGCTTGAGCCCAGGAGTTGGAGGCTGCTGTGAACTGTGATGCCACGGCGCTCTACCCAGGGTGACAGCTTGAGGCTGTCTCAAAAAAGAAAAGCAGTGAATAGGGCGGTGCCTGTGGCTCAGTGAGTAGGGTGCCAGTCCCATATACCGAGGGTGGTGGGTTCAAACCCAGCCCCAGCCAAACTGCAACAAAAAAACAGCTGGGCATTGTGGCGGGCACCTGTAGTCCCAGCTACTCAGGAGGCCAAGGCAGGAGAATCGCCTAAGCCCAGGAGTTGGAGGTTGCTGTGAGCTGTGACGCCACAGCACTCTACTGAGGGCAATAAAGTGAGACTCTGTCTCTAAAAAAAAAAATTACTGAATAGAAAGTTCCCATTTTTCATATGAAGAAGATGAGAGCTTAAGTTTCTTACTGGAAGCAGAATCAAGATCTAGTAGTAGTATCTAAGCGTTCTAATTCTGAATCCTTTCATTGTGTTACCTGCTTTTAGGCTGCTCCTTCTAAGAATATTTATCTGATCCTGACTTAATCCTAGATCCACCTTCAGAACCAGAAAGGACAGTATTATTCATGCATTCAACATTTATAGAGCAGCAGCCTTGTACTAGACGCTGAAGATACGGTGCTGGGGCCTGCTTTCATAGAACTTTTGAGTCAACTGGAGGCTGAGGTTGCTGTGAGCTACCATGATGCCATGGTACTCCTACCCAGGGTGGACTCTGTCTCAAAAAAAAATTTTTTTTTCGGGTCAAGCAGGGGAACAGTCTAGTGAGAAATACAACATAACTGAATGTTTAATTATATGTTGAAATCAATGACTGAAAGGAAAGGAATGGAGTTCTTTATGAGTATTTAACAAACAAAAACCTCACAAAACTCCTTTCCTTAACTAGTAGGCCAATAAGACATTGTCTAAGAAAGCGATAAGAAAGAGGCTATCCAGTAGGAATTAGGAATTAAATAGGCTAAGGAAGGGAAAGGAGTATGTTCCACATAGATGACATGTATACAAAGGCTCTGTGGCAGCAGAAAGCTTAGCGTATTAACAACAATGAAAGTAGCCAGCATGACTAACTGCAGTTAGTGAAGTGGAGACAAGTGGAGCTAGCTAGATAAAGCCGGAGAGGTAGGCGACATTCACACCAGATTCAGCTCACTGCTGGTCTAGGCTGGGTAACTGTCAGTTCACGTTTGCGTTTGTCCCAACCTCCTTCCCCGAGTGTCAAGAGCAAAACTGGAAACTAAGTGCACAGTAGCAGCGACCAAAGCTGAACGAACAGAGTCCAAATCGTTCTACTGGTGAGGCACTAAAGACACGATCGCTGTGCCAGGGCCAGAACCGAAGGGCAGCCTAAGAAGGAGAAGATGGGTAGCAGCTCCCTTTACCGCGCCGTTCTCGCTAGTCTTCGTCAGGCAGCCAGCAAGCGACGAAAAGATGTAGCCGTGCCGGGTGTAGGTTCCGCTGCCCGGGCTGCCCTCCTCCAAGTTACACAGACGTTCGCCTGCAAAAAACACGCTGCATCAGCCTTGGGCCCCCAGAAGCTAGTGGCCACCCAACCTTCCTGCCTGTATCCCTGTCGAGGGCTCTGTATGGGAACAGCTCGCTTACCAGGTATGCAGTATCTCACGGGTGGCGCCATGACGACCACTGTCCCAAAGCCCGGATGAAAACGAAGCCGACTTCTCATTGGCCTAATCTAAGTCCAGTTCCTCAGTAAGAAGCGCGTCAAATGGTGTAGTTTCCCACGTGATGTGCGGCCGCGACTCCTCCAGGGTAAACTCCACTTCCCAGGTTTCCCCGGGCCAAGTCCGGAGGCGGAACTTCGGGGCTCCTGCGCTTGCTCTTGCGCTTGCGCCTGGGGTTGAGGATGGGTTGGCGGCGGGTCCGGGTCTACTGCCTGGCGCTGTGGGTGGCGGACCATGGTGGGTCGGATTGAGCCGGCCTCTGCTCGGGCGCCATGCTGGAGGGGGTGGCAGTAAGCGTCAGCAGAGGCTGCGGGGCTCCATTTGGCTGACTGGGGAATTAGCAGGCGGCAGGTAAGGGCGGAGCCGCGGTCCCTGCTCTCCATCCTAGTCCCTTTTTCTAGTGTCGGGCGCTGCCCCGAGGCCTTGTCGTGAGTCCGGGTTCCTGCTCTTTCTTCGCCCCGCCCTGCGGGGCCGTCCCCTTCTCTGGCAGAGCACGCTCTCCCGGCAGCTGTAAAGCGCAGTGCTGGACTGAGGTCATTCGACCCAACTCGCCCATTTCACAGGTCAGAAACTCAGATCCAGAGACAGAAGTTGACTTGCGCCAAGTCTCTAAGATAGGTTAAAATAGAGCCCAAGCCGGACCCAAGTTTTTTGACTCCCAGTCTCTTGCAGTTTGACCACGCTGTCTTTATAGAGAAATAAAGCCTTTTCCCGGTTTTTATAACTGCAGCTTCCAATCCTACAGTCGGATCCTCTTAAGCAATGCTCTGGTTGTGTGGGTGCTTCGTTCAAAGATGAGCAGCCCCGTGATAAAGTTGCTGGTCTTTTTCTTCTCAGCATGTTAGCCGGGAAGGGAAGTCTTCACATGGATAAAATGCTACTTTTTACTGATGTCTGACATCTCCTGCTTGAGATTGCAAACATCCCGAAAGTAGCGTCTTTGTCCAGATAAGTTTTGCCACGACTTTGATCTCAGTTCATCTGACTTCTGTGATTTTGCAGTCTGTCCCTCCCTGTCTCCTCTCCTTTCTTCTCCAGTCAAGTTTCCCTTTGGGAAAACAGATGATGACTTAGAACCTTGGGAATAGTTTGTGTGCGCTCCGTATCCTGCAATCTCCTGTAATCTGGTGGCATATGGCCCCCATCCTTGTGGCTACTATTGAGGGATCCATGGACTTAGGGCTTGTGCTTGAGGTGATAATAAAACTGCCTTCCCCCAACACATAATTTTTTGAATTTTGTTTTACCTCAATTTCCTGAGAGGAAAAGTCTGTATTTTCAATTATAGCCCTTTTATTACATGTATCTTTTCCTTGGGATCCCCATACTCCCCATTTCCCACTAACTAAAGGGGAGAGGGCCTGGCTTTAGACTTTGTACACTCAAGTCTGATCTGTACCTGTGCATCTGCAAGCTTCCTGTGTAAAATGGTTATTCTGATTTCTGGTTGGACTTGTGTTCTAAAATGACGTCTAGATCCTAAGGGCAATGATTTTTTTTTTTTTTT